TGTCTGAAGACGAAACCATTTATTAGTTTCTGTGTTTTATAAGCTGGTGTACTGCAGTTTGTTCCTTGTTAGTACATTTTTTATATTGTAAGTATTCATAGTATTTTTGCTGATAATTTAATTGGGTATAGGGGATGTTGTGAAACCATTAATCCAGTAAAATACTGTTGGAGAAGAGCAGTGTTTGAATTCCAAATATTCTTATATGCTAAATCTAAAACCTGGTTTCAAAGAAAAATGAAATCATGGTTTCCCAAGTGAGATCTTTTTCTGAAGTTAAAACATAAGTTTTATTTAACATTGAATGGCACAGGCTTTAGCTACCAGAAATCTTGAAGTCTTGTCTTTCTGTTTTTTCTCGCTGAATTTTGATGTCGGAAACATGAATGTGTTGGCAGAGAACATGGAATGTTTGACCACGTGCATGAAGGGAAACACAAGTTACTGCACAGTTTTTCTGTGTAGGCTGATACTGAAATTAAGCTTTGCAAAGGTTAAAGGATATGCACACATATACATTTGTGTACAAGGAGGAACTAGCAATGAGACTTGTGTGAGGATTTACATAAGGTGTGATGTAATCATAACATCTAAGGAAAATATGAAACAATTATTTTCATTCCTGAATTTGTTTGGATCAGGAAGGTGAAAGAATGGGCATTGGTACTGCAAGTTGCTGCTTTTGTTTTTCCTGCCTCCCCGGTCTGTCTTTTTATTTTAAAAGACTAGACTGAGAAACAGGAACAGGTTTATTTTTGACTTAATTTGAAATGAAAAAGTGACGTTTGTTTCTAATGTTATATTGACATGGGAATATTTTGTTCACTCCATAATAATTGCACTGGATCTTTTTATGAGGTTATCTTGTAGAACCTTTGAAGGTTGATAATTGTGTGCAGGATCAAGTATTTAGCCAAGTGACTTACTCCTAGATTTTGGAACAACCTGAAGCTTAACCTTTGATAACCCCGTTTATACTTGCCACAATTTATTTTCGAAGTATCCTCTTTGTTATACTACTGCTTTGGTTATCTTTGTTTTAACATAACTAACCCCTAGATTTGGCCAGGTGGACCACATTCTTATTTCAATACTGGCAGGATTGAAACCTTCCTTGTGAGACAGTTGTATTAAGTTTGTATTTACTGTTTATATTTGTAAGATACTTGTGATATTCAAGGTTTCCATGTGCTGCTTGGAGAGGATGGAAGAGGTGAGTTGCAGGTTTACAGCAATTTAGGTATCTTTTTCTATAATACTGCACACATGGCCTGTGACCAGTTTATATCTTCAGGGTTGAATTGTATTTTTTGTATGGGAAAGTATTTATAACTTTTGTATTTTTTATTGCAGTTGGCAAATATTTGAATTGTAGTTGATTGCTTTAATATCTGTATTGAAGACCTGTTAATGATTCCACTTGTTAATGATTCCACTTGTTAATGGTATCTGGTTTTCTGAATTGTGACATTGTAGTCATGTAGGCAGTTACTAAATGGAGAAATGACACCTCTCTCTTCGGGTAGGATTTCCTGCATTGATAACACCTACAAAACTACTGTGGATTTAGAATACTGTTGATCTCACCAGTTTGGAAACAACTGCATATGTTATAGGATTTGAGACCTTCGTGGTGAGTACAATCAATAAAATCTTCTCGGGCAATCAGCCGCGTTAACTGGTTTACTACAGTGACTAGTTAACGTGGCTGATTGCCCGAGAAGATTTTATTGAACTTCATATGTATTTTGCGAGTTTTTGTTAACTTTTCTAGGCAACATCATTTTGTGTGAATATTAAGCATGTAGCATTTTGCCAAGTAGGCACTTTTATCTTGGATGCGTGTGCGAGTTGGAATCTACTTGGATTTGAACAGATACCTGTGTGAATTAAACATGACTGCTATACTTTGTGAAATATATGGGCAAAATAGTAATTAGAGTTGTTGGCTATTGTTGAAGTGTGAACATATTTTTTTACATGCATTGTATGTGTCAGCTGTAAATGGACCAAATGAAGTATCAGCAGTATGAAATTGGTAACCATTTTATAAGCTGTGTACTATTGTCATTAATATTTACCTTAAACGTGAATTTTTGTGCAAGTTATTCCCTTAATGAATGTACAGGCTTTCTCTGCAGAGAATGTATGCTAAGGAATGTTCACAAGCTTGATTATGGATGTAGGAATTTGAAGTAATATTCTTGGTGTGTATGTTGCAAATTACATTTCTTAAAACTTGTATTAAGGATGATTACAGTTGTATGGGTATACATTTTACTCTCTTAGTTATTGTGTGTGAAGGGTTTTCATGTTTTGAACCATACCATGATCAGTGACTTACTTTGATGTGCCTAAGGTTTTAACCGGTAGCGTTTCATTTTGAGATATTACTACATTACTGTATAGTTCATTCCTTTTCTTATGAAACTTGTTCACTGGGATGTAACAGCAGCTGATCACAATAGTGGGGTGGGGATATACTTCAGTTGCAGCTTGGTAGTGGTACAAGACATATCTTATTAAATTTTGGTGCTGTGCAATGCAGAGTTGTTACATTTTACACTTTCGGCATTGCAAGTCTGACCTGAAATACTTCACTCACTAGGCTCTAAGATGTTCTTGACAGCACTTGAGTTTGACTCTGTACCATGTGACCCAACTGCAGCTGACCGAGAAGCACCTGAAAAGTCGGCCTCATACTCCCTACCCTGTCATGTAGCATTCTTCTAATTGATTTTCAACCACACTTCACAAGAAAAGGAATTAATATAATTGTCATAGATTAGGGACCTGATGTATTAAGCTTATAGGCTGATTATTATAATCTGTATGCCTTGCATAGTCATGGTTATAGTGTTGGTGATGAAGCATATGATTTTTACAAATGTATCTTCTTCGTAACCAATTTCATGGAATTGTAACGTGGACAATTTATAATACACATCTGGTGATGTTTCTCTGTGGTGGAATGCATTCCAGATGGGATATTTTCATGCCTTACAGATGACTGTTATACGTTGGTTTGTTGCTGTTTGCTGTCATACCAGTTGTCAGGTGGTTCCATGTGGAAAGTTTTGTTGCTCCCAAATCACTGGTCCTAATCTGAAGTTTATATTTGAGGTTAATATGGAAATAGTGTTGACTTTTTGGATTTAAGGTAAAGGATAGGTATGCATAGATTGTATGCCAGTGCCCGTGTTCTTTTTATGCGTTTGCAGTTGCCTACGGTAACACCGAGTGTCATGTTTGTTGCAGCATGGCTAATGGTGTCTGGATCACAGACAAATAGTAGGTTGCTGCAAGGATCGATGTCTATGGCAGCTTGGACACGAGGCAGTGGTAGTTCTGGTACTGGCTCTAACTCATCTGCCGGCATTCTGGCTTCTTCATACCAAGATACAATCAGTCAAGGCAACTCTAGCAGATCCTTGAGTTGCCCTCGCTGTGACCGCAAGTACGCAGTACTTTACACGTTAGAACGCCATCTACGTTATGAGTGCGGTGTCGAAAAACAATTTTCGTGTGGCGTTTGTTTTAAACGGTTTAAGCGGAGTGATGTGTTGAAAGTACATCAGCGTAATGCCAGACATGTTACCGAGGAAGATATATAATTATTTCGTAATTTGCTGTAGTCATAAGTCCGGATTCTTCTACAGACGTACAATCATTTATTTTGATTGTTGATCATTTTGGAGTTTTAATTTTTTTAAGTTTTGCTCCGTAGTGTGTTATTGTTCCAATATTCACACTATGCATACACTGCAGGTGCTGGCACTGCCAGCTGTTCATATTGTAACATGATGATTTCACATTGTCAGTTTACATTATGCAATCTGCTGCTTAATCTTTATTGACTGAGTGTCATGGCTTATGCAGTGCAGCTGATGATGCAACCATTTACCTTGGATTTTAAGTCCAGCCAGCAGGGTCATAGTGTGATGGGTTTAAGTCTGCTATTCTTGTACAATAAAACATTTTTATTCTAGATGAAAGTTGACTTGTAGTTATATAGGTTGGTAATTTGTGTAATTGAAGGCTACTAGTTATTCCACTTACTATATTTAACCAAACGTTTATCCGCAGGGGTTATTTATACAATTTTGATACCTAGTTCTGTAATTTCTTTAGCAATGCGAATTTCTCTGAGCAGCATCTTTTATTTGTAGAATTTATGCCAGTTAGGTATTTGCGTTAAATCCAGTGAGGTGCGTCTTGATGCAATTAACTATTCTGTCTGTTAACGGTATGTTGGCTGCAGATGTGACGGTTAGTAGCATTTCAACAGAGAAACTGGTTGTTTTTCAGCATTTGCTGGCCCACCGGGCCTTCAGATGTATCCAGGTAACATCTGCCAATACTGTGGACGTAGGTACAAGTACCGCAGTGGCCTGGCCCGTCATCTTCAAGAGTGTGATCCTACTTCCAAGAAGTTCGCCTGTCCTCAGTGTCCATTTACCTTCACCAGGAAGGAGTATCTGATGAAGCATTGGGACTTATTTCACTGACGTTGCTCCTTTAGTGTATTAACGTTACTGTGCAATTAGAGAACATTTTTGTATTAACTGATGCTAGTTTTCATTTGACTTAATGATGCTCTGTGCTAATTTTTCCCTAAGTGAATTGAGATGGTGGTTACATGTTTGAAAAATTACTAATTCACCTGTTTGCAATGCTTTGCACCCAGTACTAACTTGCTTGATTTTGAATTTGTGCAGACATTGATGTTCATTGATTTGCGTGTCTATGGTGATGACAGATTAATTATTGCTGTTGCAGTTGTGTGCAACTTCTCGATTTGAAGTTTGAATGTAACACCGCTTTTCCACGTGCCTTTTTGCAATACATTCTGTACTACTTGTTTTTAATTTTAACATACAGTGCCAGTATCGAGTTTTGGTGTTTCCGTTTTAGTCGTCATAGATATTTGCTCATGTCTATGTGACTGGAGCAAGTAATTTGTTCGGTTGCTTGCCTTGACATGCGTGGTATCTTTGCAGGCTTGGTCATATCAACTCAGAGCCTGTCGTATGTATACCAGTTTGAAGGTGTTTCACCAGAGGATGACATTCAGCTTCATTTTTGCCAACTGTGTGGGAAAAGCTACAAATCTCGGTCTACACGTAACAGGCATCTTCGTTATGAATGCGGGATAGCCCGCTTCAAACTGGAATGTTCAGTTTGTGGCAGGAGGTTCTCGCGGCCTGATAACTTGCGTCAACATGCGGGTATCCATATGCCAGGTTACCTTAGTTACAGTTACAAGGCTAGTAGTAATGGTGGCAGCAGTGGCGTTGGAGGAGGAAATTTCCAGACTGCTGATGGTGTATGAACTGCAAAGTGTACCAAGTTTTAATGAAACATTCTTATCTGGAGGTGAAATGTTTCATTGCAAATTCTTTTGATTTTTTGTCTGGATGCGTTGGGTAGTGCTCAGAGCAGCACGACATCAATCTACTCTACGATTTACCAAGCGCTTGCATATTTGATTTTATAAGTGAATATTTTTGAAGAAATATTACCGAGTTTTGGGCAGAGCATCCCCTTATTACCAGGTGTTTCAGTGAAGAAATTGGGGTTGAAGACTTTGCCGTTTCTAAGTTGAAACATGGGACATAGGATTCTGTAACACTGAGGTAATTATATTTCCATGTTTACTTAGAATAAGATTTATTTTTAGTGCTCCATGGTTTTGCATTTAACTGTGAAACTGCTAAGAGAAATGGTCATGACATACTGCCTGTGTTTATGTATTATGAAATATTGGCCAGTTTGTGTCCATACTTGGTTTTCAGCATCAGATATTTGTTTCACCATTCACTAAAGGTACTGGCTCTACATGTGTCACATGCATGGGAAGTGTTTTGCAATTTCACAGGTAGTCAATTCACTAGGCTGCTGTATGAGATGTGACCATCACGTGCTCCATATGAATGATGATTTTTAAACCAGTGTCCAACAATAGCATTTTACTGTTTGGTAAGCGCAACTCTGATTTGTTGCTATTCTGTGTTCTACTGCTTCCCATTCATGGACACATCTCATTTTAAGCCTATTTCCTTAAGGAAGCAAAATTCTACACACTATGCTGAAATGATTGGTTGGGTATTGATGAATGCTAGGTGATTTGTTCATGATAAATTCATTCAGTGCCAAGTTGGGTTCATTTTTAAATTGAACCCTGCTGTCCTCATTGCAGCTGCTCCAATATTCAAGCATATTAAATTCCATGCTGTGCCTTTTCCAGTTTCCCTATCTGAAGTTTTTATTTATTTATTATTCAATTTTTTTTTGTTAGCTAGGCAACTTGTTTAACAACCCCTGTTAATGGTTGAGACTGGTGATTCCTGGTCTAGAAGACGGGTTTTGTTGAAATGCAGTTTTATCAAATTCCAGCAGTCACACCACAATGCTAATGTATTTTATTATGCCACTGTCCTATGGTAAAACATATGTTTCTACTGTTTATTCTGGTGGTGCATTACTTTACCTGACAGGAGCATTTGCCACTACTTATAGGGTAAGTTGTATTTCTTGTGAGTTATTTTTCAGACGTCTGATTTTCTTGTCTAGGCCATGTGCAGTAAAAATACCTATTTAGCAGTGGAGGCAGTAGTAGGCATTCTGAACCTCATGTTTTTTAAAACAAATTGATACAAATAGTAATTTGTTACGTTCTAAGTGAAAAATTGACTTGATGGTTGAGTGGCAAGGGGCTGTTGTATTTGAACAAGATTATATTAATGTTTAATATAAAGCAGTCTTTGAAGACATCCATGAAATAAGGAGCTATAACAAGTAAAAACTAAACTACCACAACACATGTTAGGTGGATGTTATAATCTGTAACATTTGAATTAGTTATGTCAAGTTTCAGTATATTTGGCCATGTAGATTTTAACTTTTTTTTGCTATCTTGCTTCATCTATGCTTTTCTGACGTAATGAAGAGCTAGTACACCAAAATTCTGTTTAAGGTATTTACTATTACTGACGTCACAGTTCAGAGTCATGTGTTTTACCTTTGTGAACCAGTTAAAATACTTGGCTATTATGTTTACAGCATACATCTGATGATTCTTAAGAATTACATTGTGTAGTGATAGTTCTAAGAACATTTGAGAGGGTTATGGCACCCGATCATTCATTACATTAAATAGTAGGATAATTGAATTGAAGGTGGCTGTCTTGTTGGTTGTAGTGCTGTGTAGTTGGAAGTTTACTGACATTTTTTTAGGTGCTTTCTGCCTTGGTCATCATGGTGATGATCCTGATGTTGGCAAGTGCCTCTGAAATGTCAGTATAATTCTACCCCACTGCATGGTGATGCAACCCAAAAGAGCCATGTCCATATTTTCTGCCATGGGAACCTCAATCCTAAGTGGTCTGAACTGTTCGAGGACTCTCATGAGACAGATATTTATCACCTTCAACATCTGCTGCTACTACTACGAGCAAGGGTGGTATGAGCTCAACGTGCTGGCAGTTATGTCCATGATATACCCTGATATCCCATAATTCCACAAGGGGGTATCCAATAATTCCACAAGGGGGTGGGGCGGTCACTGAATTTCCATCGAACATCCAGCCAGTCGTCATGGAGGTCCAGTCATACTTGCAGTGAGACATCCCAGGAGCAGAATATGCTGAAGTTTCCTGACCGGAATTATAGTGTAAGTATTTAGTAGTGTCATTTGGAAGTGAAATTTTTAAAATTTAAGATATTATTCACATGGTTTCCAAAAAGTGCAGCAATTGTCTGCTGACTTCAATTTCAGGAGTTTTAATTATTTAAGGTATGGTATTCAGTAGTGTGCCATACTTGGTTAAAGTAATGTTTTTGGCAATTTTAATCTCAATAAATACCCTGAAATTTATACTTTAATGTTTTATTTTATCAAATATACCCTGTATTATCTTCATTCTGAATGATTTGGAGTACTTATGCAAAATTGCCTTGTTATGCAATCACAGTGCCAATTCTAAAATCTCACCATAATGCATCAAGAAGGGGGTCAGATTATGAGGAAATTTTAAGCACAAATTAGGATTGTTACTAAGTTTAAAGTGTGAGGAGGTCTTTGATGGTCTAAACAGTGTGCAGTGTTATGAAACGTGTGCGAGGCTTATATTTTAGGTGTTGCTTGTCACTTAAATATATGCTACTTGATCAAATGCGAATAGTACTTCCACCTCTGCATTCATTTTTATAATTACCGGTTTAATCAGATTGTGAACTAAAACTGATTTGTTGCATGCTCAGTTCTTCTGAATGACTTGTTTATTAAAAAAATATGTCTTAAGAACTGAAATAGTTGAGACAGGGCTGTTTAATGCAGAAACATTATGGGCATTTTGTTTCTGATGAAGTTGCTTGGCATTCATTAATATGAATTCAAAGTGAATTAAATATTTACTACTCTCATGGGCTCTGAGTTTTCCTCTCCTGGGAATTACTAAATTTATATTTAATCATATTTTAGTTTGATTATATGGATTGCTTGGGGAATGTGCAAATAACTATTACACTTCACCTGTGTTCCATCATTGCTAGCCAGATTTGACACTAACAAAATTAAGTTGGAACTTATGCTTGCAGGTTTAGAATAAAGTACGTTTATGGACTTTCCTTTGAATGCAGTTGGTGGAACATTTTTTACTACGTGTCTGGTTGTAGAGCATATTTCATTCTTTGGTGTGGTATTTTCCCTAGTTGATGGGTATACTGCTTTGATGGTGTTTATCTTTGGGTGTGTGCTGTTTTGGCTGGGAAGTGGCTTCTTCAGATTAAGGTGTTACATGATGAAAATGTGTGACCATTAATTGAAAATAAAATTTGATGCCTAACCTTACCAGCAGTTTTATAAAGTTCTTTTGAAATATCTACTGTTCTATATTGGCAATGTTTGGTTGAGGTGTATGAGGTAAAATTTAAGTCTTCAACATAAAAGTGTTTACATAACCAATTACTGTGGACTTCATGCAGAATTGACAGCTTAATACTTATATTTAGCCATTTTACTTATTCTGAATTTGCATTTGCAGTGCATTTGGTATTGGCCTTGTTCCTTCCTGGAATGTTCTGCATTAAAATCAAGCTTTGTTGGTTTCTCAGGGAGTCCCATTCCTTTGTACTATTTATTTATTCTATTGTTAATTGATGTACACTTCCCAGTCACTAACAGCAAGAAGAAATTCACTAGGATGTAGTGGATTCTGTAAGCTTCATTTATAGGGTGCTGCAGTGAGCTTGCTGCTTGAAAAGGGAGGTTCCGGTCTGAGGAGCTTCTAATCCAGAGCCATGGATGGAGCTTGTGGTTCATCAGGAATAGCAACTGTTTGTGTATGTATTTTCTATACTAGTTAGAGGTATCTTACTGAAATCAAACATTACAGTAAACTATCACGTTTGCCGGAATTGGAAATTTATGTTACTTATCGTAGTATGTTTGTTTAGTTACCTGAAGTGAGGGTTTAGCGAAATACGGAATAATGCGCTGGAAAAAATATAACTTTCGGATCTCGTATTTTTCTTTGTTTTTCTTTTTGGATGAAATCAAGCCCTTACTGGGTTGAAGAAATTACTTGGACTGACAAGAGCTAAGTTCCTGGCTGTCAGTTCAGTGGTTTAGACCTGTTACTGGATGTGTAAGTTGGGGGTGCATTACTGAATCACTAACTGCATGGCATTTGATTGTGGTGTGTGTGTTTCATAGCGTAGCATGTCACAGTCAGTTGTGTAAACAGAATTTGTACATTCATATTTTGTCAGATTCCATGTACTTGGCCATAATGGTTAATCAGTTTGTCCTGTGGAATAGAAAATTCAGATTTCATATGGTTGCTGTTTTTCACACTGTTAAATGACTTAAAAATGTTGCTGGTATATAATCCCTACTGGTTACATACTGCAGAGGTATTTATTTTCAAGAACCTTTGAGAGTACTTCGGCATCATTGAATTTCTATTTTTTATTTATTTGGGAAACTGCTAACAATTTTATGTAATTTACAGGCAATGTCAGGAAGACATGAAATTTAATGCTGCATAATTATGCAAAGTCTTGATTTGAATTAGACATTGAAGTAAGGATTTAGTGTAATTCGATAAGCACCAGACAGGAAACTTCTTATGTAACATATCAGTGTCATTCCAATTGAGCACACAGGATTGTCATTTTAGTTCCTTGTGTGAGACTGATTATTGCGACATTGGCAGTTGCCAGTGAAGAGTACAGGTTTTTGTAGTTGCCTGCTTATCATTTTCTGGAGATAATTTCCTTGAGCTGCATATGTGATTCTCTCTCCACTCTGTCACTTGCTTTACACTAACTTGTAAGATTACAGCTTCAAAGCTGACAGAAAGTGACATGGCACTTTTTTATATTTTTAACTGTTGTTTGCAGCTAAAATTTCAGTGGTGAATGAATCCATGCTTTTAATTTACTTTTTCTGTATCTGTACTTCAGGTAGTGTGTCTTTATGTATGAACCAGTGAGATCACTTGTTGGAAAAAAAAATTGTTGGGTACTGATGCAAAACATGTTCTGAACAAAATTTATAGGCAAAAACTTTTCCAAAATGTATTTTTGTTCTAGCCAATTTATGATTCTGTTTTATTTATCTTGAGATTTACTGCAGAATATTTGAATACAGTTTTCCAAATTGTTTGGCCTCTGCTTTAAACATGATTATAATCACTGGAAGTAGAACTCATTGTGTAACTTCTGAATGATTTTATAATCTTGCTGCACACATTTAATTGGATTTGACTTAATTTCTTAATTGTATATATTGCTATTGGTGAATTCATTTGTTTCAGGAACTGGAGCTGTAGCATGAAGCTAACAGTTGTTTACCTGGGCACTGAAGCACAAGACCATGAAATGTATGTTGTTTGTGTTACTGATTCCATAGTGTTATATATGAACATATTTTGATTGCAGTGTATTGAGCATGTTTTATATGTACCAGTCACTTATGAAATTTTTTAGTTCACTTAGTTTGCTCATAGTAAAGCCAGGGACCAATCATCGCAGTAAGAGCTAGTTGTGCATGGATCATAGAACCACTTCTAGTTGTTACTTATGGCTACCATATTTCAGGGACTTGTTCTCCAGTCATTTTCCATTCTTGGTAAAGGGTTGTTACCATCAGCTACTTTACATTAAATTTTCAGTTTGGTATAAATATAAGATTTTTGGTGTTTATGGTAATTTTTTACAATGGTATATAGTGTGTAGTTCATTGTTGATATGTTAAGTTCTAAAATTTAAATATAGTAATTGCTAGTTCATACAGTGGGATTCTTTCTGCCCTTGATTGCCACCTGACATATTGGGGTTTTCTCTCAAATAGCTGCACAGTATGTGAGAGGGTTGCTGTTAAATATGGTGTTGCCAAGGTTTTACAAATTTGTCTCCCTCATTCCAGGATTGTGGTACTTATCCCTGAGCTTAAAGCACTAGAGCACTGCATGATTGCATCTAGGGAGCTTTGACATAGGTATCTGGATGTGTGGGGCTTCAGTATTAGGCGATGGTTTCTGTTTGCTTTACTGCTGGAAAGAGTCCATGGTACTCGTGGTTGGGCACAAGAGGTTACCCTCGCTGGGAAGTGAACTTGTGGCATTCAGCTCATAGCAAATAATTATACTAAGTTAGTTCAGGCTCACAATTTCATACGCTAGAGTCGGAGATAAACCGCTTTTCTTGCCAGTAGCTAGCTACATTCTGTCAATAAGGCCTGCATTACATTTGTCTTACAAATGATATCTTGTTATGTAATCACAGTGAGATATTGGATAGTTAGAGTAGTATTAAAGTTCTGTAGTAGTAGTAGTAGTAGTTAAATACACCCTCTTCTCCCCTTTTTTCTTAATCCTCGCTTGTTTCGAGATAAACAGGCTTTATGTGTTATATCTATAAGAGTGCAAACACTGCTTTCAGAATTGAACTTTTTGTTGTCAGGGCTCTTTAAATTGCTGAAATTCAGAGAGACCACACAGTTTTGTATGTGGCAGATAGTTGTGCAGTCATGTCTTAATTTTTCATAAATGGACATACATACTTTTTCTGACTTTAATTCCATGGACTTTGACCAGCATGCACTGTATTCTAAAAAAAATTCTGCATGCCTTTAGGAAATATTTCTATTTGAATTTCTGTAGTGATTTTTATGTTGCAGCATTGCTCATCTCTGCTAATGTTTATGAAATGTTATGCATAGAATTTGGAAGTACCTATTTTCTTTGTTTTTCGTTTGATTTGAAATGCCCACCATGCTTTTTCCTATATTGCATACAATTTGTTACTTGGATATGCCAATTCTTCATGTCTTTTATGTGTCACAGTTTGATTTAATCTATATTCTGAGTTTTCATAAATGCCTCAAAGCATTAACAAAGTTCTGGTTATGTGAAATGCATCTTTTGGTTTGGGGGCATACAATTTCAATTTCTGTCTGCACTTCGAAGCAGTAACAAGTACCCAGTCATCAGAATGTACATACTGTAACCGATTCAAGTATATGCAAGTGGACAGGACTTATTGACTCGGTTCACTACCGCCGTCAGACAGATTCTATCTGCTGTACATTTCCGCAAGAGAAAGTCATGTACTAGTCTGCAAACAGCTGGTTTTAAACTGAGCACAGTAGATGGTTGTCATGATATAGCAGCTCTGTGAAGAGAATAAAATGAAGGAAAGCTACAGATCATTTACATGGTTGATGTATAAGAGTAATCAGGGAATTATATTCAACTGCTTTTTATTACATTGATCCTTAAAACACACTGTGTTCCAAAATTAACCCTTTCTTACCCATGCCAGGTACCCGGATGAGGAAATTTTTCTTTCACTTGCCTGGTTTTTCTCATAATAGATGAGCAAAGGTGGGTTAAGATTTGTTGACCTCTGCCAGTTGGTTAAATTAATTTTGAGGTGGAATTTGTTTGAAATTCATGTAGGCCTCTGCACTTTTTAAATGAGTTTTGCTCAGAAATGTGAACTTCAGAGTAGTAGCAAATTTTCATATAAAATAGCTGATTTTTTTCTTCCAAATTTGCTCACAATGTGGTTTCAGCTACATGATATAGTGAAGTGAGGGTTTAAACTTTTCCTGCATTGAGATGCTTTTATTATACAGGATGATTGAAAACAATGCAACTACATAAGAATATTGACGGTTGCAGTTCAGTACAATTTGATTGGATTTTTACACAATATTGCTGTTACTATAGAAGAGCCAGTGCAGGTCACTCTGGTACTTTTCTTATCTTCCTACAATCAGAACTCAAGGATGTATTTTCTTTTCACATAGACAAGTAAATTGAGTGTTGTCAATGACTGGCATCTTGTTATTTCTTGACTTGCCTGAATGAGTTTGGGGATACATTTTCCTATTCTGTGCCAAACATTGACAATATCTTGCCTTGTGAATCATTTGTGACACAGCAACCCTTCGTCAGTTTGCATCAAACATGAGGAAAAGGGCGCATGTAGTACTGAACGTGGTGGGCATTTTCAGCACTTTTTAAAATTGTTTTTGTTCTGTGTTACCAATGTTAATTTATCATCTGACAAGTGCGTGTGTTGAGAATGGAATGGGTTGTGTGTCATCAATCTCTGGTTGTATTCATCGCCCTGATGACGGAGGCAGTATGATCTCTGAAACGTTGGTTAACATCAACCAGACTACACAGCGCAATAACCCAGAAGACAGAAATCTTCATTTGTATTTAACTTCTTTTTACTACTACGTTGTCTGACATAATTGCCTATGAGCAGTCGCAATAGGATAGCCCTGGCATTTGAAACATTTTCCCCAGCAAAACACAGAGTTTCAATTCTGCAGGGAGGAAATCATGGTTGTGTTTGTAATTTGAGTGATCAGAGATATGGTAGCTGCGTGGAGTCCAAAGATTTGTGTTTGGTGGATGGGCAGGACATTCATAGTGAAACCGTTACACAAGTTGCATTGTGACATCTCATGGAGAGGGATCACTTCATCTGTGATCAAGCCAATGTTTTCCTCTCAGGACTGCTTTGTTGTGCAGTTTCATCTACATCAGTGGTATTCAACCTTTTTTGTTTGCGTACCCCCAGATATAATTTCTCTTCAACTTTGTACCCCCTAAGTTGTTAGTGTTTAATTCAAGTTATGCATAGTATATAATCTACATCTAAAATAAATTACATTACTGATTATTCAGTGTTTATCATAAAATAATAATTTTTAAATTTCACGCACCCCCTAAGATGTCTTCACGTACCCCAGGTTGATTACCACTGATCTACATCATACCATGGATGAAGAATGCTCATTGAACTTGTTGCTGAAGGGCAAAGTGATCCATTTGGTGCAAACAGAGCTCTGATTTCTACTCTATAGGAATAAATTGTGTTTTTGGGATGCACACTTTCCCTTTGAAGCTGAATCTTGTCAAATATTGAAAAAGTTCCATTTATACCTCAGTGAAAAGGGTGTCTTAACTAACAAGGATCAGTTGGCTAATGCTGTACAAGGAAATTAACACTGTTTAGTCGAAGAACATAAAATCCATACATTTACTGGGCAAAATGCAGTTGGTACACATAGTTACCCCTGGATATTAGTGGGTTAATCACCCTTGTGTTAATGTGGAACTATGGGGGTTTCAGTTGACATCTTGTTCTCTGTATAAGTCTTAACGAACTAATTGGTCTTAATGGTTACTTAACGGGCACGTAATATGGTAGTTACGGTAGTGCATTTAAATTTCAGGCAAGGTATTTGTGACAGTTTGTTTTCCTTATTCACATTGATGTTTGTATGTATCCTTTAAGGTGTACTGTGAAACAAATTGTCATGTGTGGTTTTGCTATTGTCTGTTTTCAGATTTCTTTCTGTCTGCCATGGGCTTGCCTTACCTGAGAAGTCATACTAGTGCTGATGCCTACAGACATAAGTGTTTTGTGTGTGGAAAATGTTACAAGACACGATCTAAGTTGAATAGACATGCTCGTTACGAATGTGGTGCATCCAGGAACCAACTACAGTGCTGGGTTTGTGGGCGGATGTTTTCTAGACCAGACAATCTTAGACAACATGAATGTCTGCATGCAATGCAGAGACTTTAATTAAATTAGTACATGTGCTTGTCTGTGATAATTTGTGAATGGGATTTTTTTACAAGTGACACGTGTCTAAACACCATTCTACTGGAGGCCATTTTGCTGATATTTCATCAGAGTGGTTTCACAAGAAGCTCAGAAATAAACAACTTCTTAATTAAGAAATGAAGTCATACCAAGTTTATTAGTCATCTTGTCTACCATAACTTGGAATGTAGTTTTCAGTTTGGTTTAAAATTTGTGACCTGACAGTTTGTTTTTGTAAATATCACCACTTTTTCTTCAAATTATCTACTGAACAGCATTAGAAGTCTTGTGTATTCACTGTAAACTTCTTGTTGCTATCAAATCCTTATTTCTGTAGAGGAACATGATTCTAAATGAGTTTCTGGGTATGAATTGGAAAAGCTTTATTTTCCTTAAGTCATAAAATCTGTCAGTACTTTAAACCAGTAAGTTTTCTGGATGGAATGTATTTTATTGCAAAAACTTTTTTGGCTTTATTCTTTAAATGTATTTACATTACTGCTTCTGGCTATTACTGTTGTGTAATGTACATTCTTTGCTTGAATATAAAAGGATAGTGTAGAAACAATATATTTTCATATGTATTATATGGCTCAATAAAAATACTTATTGTTTGTATATATTCTTTTTGTGTCAAGAACCTTTAACTCAGTTCCCTTTGACTTGTCTGAAGATTTAAGGTGTGATTAGTCCTGTTCAGCCTATGCTTTCAATTTAAGTAATTGATTTAATGTGGACCACATGTAGCTCAAGTAACTTGCTCAATTCTTACTATGCAACATTTAATTTTCTGTTCAGCATACTTGTCTTTCTGTAGTGTAGCATTATGTGATGAGCTAGTATGGAGGTGATTCAGAAAGTATCTGCCATTATTCTTTTCCCTTATTTTGATCTTTTTCAGTTTCATATCTTGTAACCAGTGTCCCTCCTCAATGCACAGTCCAGACCACAAGTTCTGAAAAACAAATTTTTGTTGGTGCAGTCAGTTAATGCACTACTTCCTGCTTTGTCTAATCTGAAACTCGAGTGTTACCTCAGAGCCTCCTTTAAGGGTATAAGCATGGAAATGGAGAGTAAGATTGTTGCAGGGTGTTTTTTCTGCACGACAGAAACGTGTGGATACCTGGACTATGTTAACTGAAGCAGGAGGACCAGAAAACTAATAGAACAAACAGGTTATAAAGAGTAGGAGTTACAGCTACTTGTTTAAGCACTTGTATTTATGCTAGGAAGATCCACAGCTGTGCAAAAATCAATATTTTCCAATATTCAGATTCTCCACTTTCAAAGTAATTTAGATGTATACAAGCCAATTTCATTCTGTGGACACAAGTTATTTTGCACATTTTGGCATTGATTATGGCACTTTGATCTCTCACTTAATGTATTCTTGGAGGCATTACTACAAGTTGAGTCAACCCTGGCAAGAGTTCCAACCAGCTAGAACTTAGCCGTGTATCACGTAGTGGACGGTATGTTTGGATTGCAATCAGTGGATTTGAAGTGCCAATCAATAGTTGCTTTATTAAGCTGTCCTTTGATTTGTTTTGCATATTCTGAAGAAAGGTTTCATGTAGTTTCATGCCAAGGGTCAAAGTGGCAACTGAAATTCTGTTGGCATACATTGGAAGAGGCATGAAGTCTGCAGCCAAGACAAATGATTGGTCTTATGAGATATTTTTCCTCCCAATTTCTTAAATATAAGTTTTGTTCCTGTTATTCCTCTTGGTCCAAGAACAACGAGCAGATGTGTTCAGCTATTTAATGTCATGAAACCTCAGGATTAATATCTTGTTCATGCAAATTTTCTTTGTATAATGTAATTTCATGTACTTTTATGGTTTGGGAAAAAATATATTTGGAACAATTGCATACACTTCAAATTATCCTATGAAAAGTGTGACCTTGTTTGTGTCATTAAATTGGCAAAATATCATCACTGCGTCTAAGTTGCTACACTTGTTACTTCTCAAGCAAGTGGCCATTGAGATCCTGTGTTCATCAGTACCACTGGGTCTGGTGATGCAAGTGTAGAATGATGCATGCTGTCACTTGTTTGCCTGAATATGTGCCATTGACCAACTTCCTGTGGTTCATCCATCTTTTGAGATGATTTTTCACCCCAAGGACAAGAGTTCCCTGCCTCTGCATCTGGTTGAGCTTATCCTGGCATCACATGGTCACCAAATGTGTTGGCCACTTTTGGTGTTGCCTAGCCTGTACCATGTGGAGGTGTAGATGGGTTTTTCCCTTCATGGAGGTCAGGACAAGGGGCATTTCCTTCACACTCCAATGCTTATTCAAGCATCCACATTTTTCAAATATATTTTTTTCATTTTCCATTATTTCTGCAAAATGGAACAGCTTTGACCACTCAAGTTTAAGAAAGTAGAACATTGAAGTGTTTTCCAGCCAAGCTTCACATATCTGGCAGTGTAAGGAAGTTTGTTATGTTAGATATTATCCAGATACAGGGAATGTAAATTTAAATGGTGTGGCAAAGTGATTCATGTCCAGTTTTAGATGAGCATTCTGATTCTGATGATTTGCCTCAATGTGGCTTAACCATGTTCATTTTAAGAAATCAAAAGTCATGGCTGTTTTAGGCAAGGACTGTATTAGGAGCAAATAACCGATTAATGGAGTAAGTTGATACAGTTAATACATTGTTCCTAGGCTTTTGTGAGAACTGTCAATTAGTAGATGAGAGGCATGACATCAGAAATTGGTATGAGGACTGCATGCTACACATTGTTACATATGTGAAATTTAAGATATTTTGGAAAAAATCAAGATTTTAATAAGTTATATTTAAGCAAAATTGCTTCACTAATTGGAAGCGTAAGAAGAAAACAGTAGCAAAATAGTCTTGGTGTACGACTCTAGACCACTGACAATGTGGTGATTCAGTGACTAGGAAACATGGCTTTTGTGCTACATAATTAGCTTTCCTTGTATGTTTGAGTAAAAAATCGATTTGTGATGATTTGTTCCCTTGAGTGAAAAATCTGATATCGGTTAATACCTGCTTCTGTATGCATGTTATGGCACAAACAGTTTGAAGTGTCCCCTCCCACATTCTTTGGTTATCACTCTTGCTTCCTATTCACTAGGTCCTGGGTTTAAATATCAGGCTGGATACTGGTTGCCCTGTTTTAAATTAGGCTACTGCTCTTCTTTCTGTAGCCTTTCAAATTCATTATGCATTAATTAATAATCTTATCATTCGATACTGTATACAGGGTCTGAGGTGTGGACCATTGTTAAACCACAATAACCCACCCTGCCTTCACCACACAGTCTTGTATGGAAAGTTTAATGATTTGCTGTAATTATTTGTTGCTTTTATTAGTGATTTTCCTCCTCCACACCCTAAAGATTCTTTTTACTTCTTCTGTAGACCAGCATGAATCTCCTTTTGGAAACTGGTAATGAGGCTGAATGACCGCTCAGATTACATTATCATTGATTACATGCGAGGGTGAGTCAGTTTCGCAATTTTTTGTTACATATTACAGTGAAAATGAGTATGTACAATAGCACCATTTTTTCATATAGTTCCCATCCTTTTACACACCTGGTCCAGTGGTCCACAAGCTCCGTATGCCCTGAGTAAAAAACGTTTTTGACCAGCCACGCATGTACCGCTTCTTTCAGTTCCTGGTAACTGACAAAATGACAGCCTCTCAAAGCGTCTTGTCAGTAGACCAAACAGGTGATAGGAGGAGCCAGATCAGGATTGTATGGAGGATGCTTCAACAGCTCGAAGTTCAGGTGGCGGAGGCTCTCAACGGTGTGGGCGGACATTATCGTGCAAAATTGTGACATCTTTAGACAGTAGTCCTCGGCGTTTTGTTCGAATGGCTGATTTCAACTGGTCCCGAAGCATTTCACTATAACAGACCTTTTATTATTGTGACCCTCTTTAGGTAGTGTTCCATAATTGGCCCCTG